AAATTTTGGGGGAAATTATTACAAAAATTGCTTAAGTGAATACCTTAATTGTGTAAGTTAGGATTTGGGGATATCGATCTGCATGAATTTTTTTATTAAAGAAAATTTTATTTGGGAAATGGACTTATGTAAACCTTTGTTATATAATTTTAAAAACATTTACTAAAATTTTATTTTATTGCATATTTGAAACAATGAAAAGGGCTTGACCACTTATTCTATTTTATTTAATGCATATTGCAAAAAATCCTTGACAAATTAATCCCCAAAACTTCTGCTCTGGATCTGTGTCGGGGATGTGCAAGTATAATAAACAAGATGTCTAATGTTTCTTAAAAATTTTCATATATATGCATTACAAATAATGGTTGATTTTATTAAATATTGGTTTCGTATACACAAAAATGTGCATACCTACTAAAATGTCTAGCACCTTGTACAGATGCCAGTTGACTGAAATTATTCGTTTCCACAGACCACATGTGCCCTCGCCCTAAGCATTTCAGCCCATTTTCACAGTGCTAGTTTGATGCATTATTTTTCCTAATAAGCTATCGTTAACCTTCCCGGGATTTGGACAGAAAATGGAAGGTATAAACGAGTAAAATTTGCAGAAAACAAAAACGAATCTGCAATTTTAATCTGCAAATTTGCATTTCTCAAACATGAGCAAATGCTGGAGAAACCCTTCAAATAATTGAATTTATTACAAAAAATGGTTAATGATCGTTTAAATTATTCTATTTTACCTGTGTATATATAGGATTAAATGGACATTTCAAATAATTTTTAGCATGCCTGGACAGGAATGACAACCATTTTTAAATTTCGAACCCTCTTTAGAATTGACCAATCGTCTTTTACGACTATGATCACGTGAACATCAGTGAGGCAAGCTGCCGAGCTTCGTTTGTCATCTAATTTATCATTGGCTTTCTCAAAATAAGTAACCAATCGGCGTGCTCGTCATATGGAACTTTCATTATTTACAAATGGCTGCCACCATTGAAACGTCAAAATGTGTCCAGACTTGTTTTAGCTAAAGCGGCATAATATGGACAGTAACTGAAGTATATAATTTATTTTAAATTAAATAAATTTTTACAACTTGATAATGTTGTCTCAGAATTACTGTGTATAAGAATACCTGTTGTTTTGTAGAACAAAGTGCCAAAATAATAAAATTTGGTCAGATTGTATCCAGTTTTAACGTTTATTTTCATGATTTAATCCAAACGATATGTCAAGTTACTCCACTTGTTTTTCATGGTTCATTAGGTAATCTATCATTCTAAAAATAACTTATTGGAAAATGAATAGCTATCGGCCTTGGAGACAGTATACTGCCGTGTTAAATATAGAAGTACAGTAGTCTTCACAGTAGAAGATAGTCCACACTTGCATATTTTATTTAAAGTTTCTAATAGAGAATCTATATATTTATTAACAGGTGGACTTTTTACAATATAAAATGAAATGAACAGTGTTGACGGTCATTAAATTGTTACCACATGTAATTCAGACATTTAAACTTGCAAACATTTAATTTGTCATATAGTTTATCAGTCTCAGTCACCCAAATTACAAATGTAAACAGTTTATTTCTGTTCTGTAGATCTTTGTATCACCCAACTTCTAAAGCTGTAAATTTGCTAATTATTTGTTACTTATATTTAAAATCTTATGAGGTGGTCACTATAATATTCAATGCCAATATATCTCTAGCTGCCAAGGTACATGATTCATATTAATATATGTATCTGAGCTGCTTAGCTGAGATTTTGACAAAATTATGGCCCTTTGTGAACTAAAAATTTTTTGGTTAGCATCAACTTATTATGGCGGCTCATTTAATGATTTATTTAATATTGATATACTATCAGGCACTGAGAATTGTCAGGCATGCTTTTCATCTGACAGTTCTTGAATGTTTACTATAAATCTATATCACTTTTTATGTAAGGAGCTGCTTCAGAGTAACAAATGTTAAGGTAGTTCTTCTCTACAGAGAAGTGGATATAGGGATCACTTCTCCATCCTTTGTCCACCCATAACAATCTTTGTCCGGACTACTCTTCAGAAACTACTGGTGCAATTTCATCAAAACTTTACAGGAATGATCTGACAGTACTAGTCTAGTTGTGCATATTGCCTGCATTTTCTAGTTCAATGATTTTTGTCAGAGTTATGGGCCTTTAATAATTTTTTTTTTTTAAGTTTGTCTGGACTACTCCTTATACCACAAATGCAATTTCAATGACAATTTACAGGATTGATCAGTAGCTCATTAGTACCTGCACATATTACATGGGTTTTCTGGTTGAATGATATCAGGCCAAGTTATGGCCCTTGAATAAAAAATTTTCTTTGTGTATGTTGCCAGCTACTCAGAAGCTATTAACTACTAAATAGTAAATTGTGCAATTTCATCCAAACTTAATAGGAATGATCAGTTCTAAGGCTAAGTTGTGCATATTGTCAACATTTTCTGGTTCAATGATTTTTGTCAGAGTTACGGCCAGTTAATAATTAATTTATAATTAAAATTTATCCTGACTACTCCTCTTATACCACTGAGGTAATTTCAATGGAACTTTAAAGGATTAATCAGTAGCTCAAGTCCTTGTGCATGTTACATGTGTTTTAAAGTCGAATGATTTTTATTTGTTTGGGTCGTCAGACCAAACAAATAATGGTAGCGAAATTTCAGAGTCTAATGTTCTTAATTGCAAATGCCGAAAGTAGTCCACTTTTTTGAAGCGGTTACTTCCCTTTTGTATGTACACTTAAGCCGAAAAATTCAGGGGAGATCACTGCGTAAAGATGGTCAAAGACAGGCGCATCAATTTTCAAGCAAAGTAATTCCTGAATGGTCGAAGATTTCTAATATTGTTTTCTGGTATTTTCTGATCGAAAATAACTAAATACAAAGCGGACATTCAATCTCTGACACAGAAGTTTATGACAAACCTAACAACAAGTAGTTCTCAAAACAGCTTAAAACTAGCGATTTAAAAGAAAGAAATATTTTATTTTGTTACAAGTATGCAACAAATTACAACGCATTTAAAGTTAAACAATAGCGTTGGCTTATAGAATTGTCAATAAATGCACAATCACAAATTTCGCGGATGAATATGATTTTATCAATGAAAATACTATTTTTAGCCATGTAGATTACCGAATACTACACAAACCGAGTAGTGGAATATATAGATTCTACATGTCGGACTGTTTGGGCGAGAGGATTTTCGCTAAAATATTTACTTCAATTTTAAACAACAGGTTTACCCTGAACAAAATACCTCGAAATTAATAAGGATTACAAACCTGAATGCCTATGGAAGTTCTAAATTTAGAATGACTTGATATTATTCAGACATATTGTGTATAACTTCCCTGTGGTACAGTGGTAACGCGCTCGCTTAGTGAGTGAGAGGTCTCGAGTTCGAATCCCAGTCGAGGAAATTTTTTTTGTGTTAAATTCTTTTTTTAATTGTTTTTGTTAAGGAAGTAGCCATGATTTACAAGGATAAAGTGTGGCTGTCGTAAAAAAAGTACATAAATGATTTTTTGATGCAACTCTAGTTATGCAGAATTCCGTATGTGCCTTACAAAATGAATTATAATACATAAAAATAAAATTATACAGGAAAATGCATACAGATATACAGTACGATTTAGATTGCAAAGATCAGAAAATACCAAAGAACTTGAAGCCCTTTGATTCTTTATAAATATACATGCTTATAGTAAGCTTCAGGATTATTTACATCTGTGTTAAACAACAGTTAAAAGTCGTTACAAGCCCTAATTTAGAATAATATGGTTTTCTTCAGGCCGTTCACATATAAATTTAACCGTGGCTGAAGGGTTTTCGGGCTCGCTTAGGAAGCGAGAGGTCTGGAGTTCAAATCCCAGTAAAGGTAACTCATTTTTTTAAATTGTTAAAGTCAAATAAACATTGGATTGAATATCAGTGTTGCAATTAGTCTTATAGCCAATTTACTACAATTAAAACGCTGGAAAGCATTGGTGGCACTAAACATATAATCTCACAACCTGCACCTTTCTTACATTCTGAGACCCAAACAAATTCAGCGCCTTCTGTGCTTTGATTGTTGAAGTAATGGCCCTTGAATAAAAAAGGTGTTAATAAAGTTTGTCCAGACTACATCTCTTATACCACTAAAGTAATTTCATTTTACAGGATTGATTGGTAGCTCAAATACTTGAGCATATTACAATACACAGGTTTTTCAGTAGAATGACTTAAGCTGAGTTATGGCCCTTGGATGTAAATCGCGTTTTGCACTGTTAATAATTTTTGTTTCAGCTGCAACATGCAATTGGCTATCATGAGACAACACATATGATCAATGATCACTCTTCTATTTTATTTATACCAAGTTTTAATTATTTAAATTAGTCAAGCATGCTGTCTCCTTTGACAGCTTTAGCTGAAGAGATTTCAGTATACATGATATAGCTGCTTTACCCCCTTGTGGCTAAGGGGTTGCCTTAAGGGGTTCAGGCATCAGAATGGCATCCACTGTTTGGTCATAAGAGGCGACTAAATGGGTCCAAAATACTGCAGTCTATGCATCTCTTACCACCCGCAGGTGAGGTGGTTAAGGTTTTGACCCCTGAAGTTGCTTTAAGTTTGTTACACCAGAGGTTAGCCAAAATCATCTTTCCTGTTTTGTTGCCATAAATAATGATGGTGCAATGTACCAAAAATGAAAATATAGCTGCTTTTGGATGTAAAAGTTTTCTTCTTCTAATTTCAGAACAAAGATGCCAAGAAGAAAAAAGAAATCTTCTCTTGCAACCAGACCATCACTGGTTTTCACAGAGAGTCCTGTGCATGTTCAGAATAATGTACCATCTCCTGTACTTTGTGCAAGATGTCCCCCCACAGCAAACTCGATCCCTGTCGATGAACTACACAATCTGTCATGGGTATTGATTAATGATTTAAAAAATATTCTTGCAGAAAAAAAGAAATATGCATTTCTACCATGTACCTTCAGTGCTAGCTTAAGAAACGTCAGTGGTTCTACTCAGGTGCTTGATTGTGCCTGAAATAATGCATAGAGGGTCATGTGAGGTCCTTCTCCACCAATTAAGCTGGATAGTCGCCATATGACCTTTTCTTTTTTGCATCAATCCATACAGTCAAATTATCGTTAAAAATTAAGGTATGGTAACCAAAAAAATAGAATTGTGAAAAGCTAACAACAAAATTTTTTTTTTTCAGATGATATTATTAAAGTTACATCAAATAAATATGTAAAAATATTTTGCCGTCGGCCTAAAATTCAAACATTCTACAGTTTCATTAACCTGTTTAATAGTATTGTTGTAAATCTCATCAAATATTGTTCATAAATTTGGATTTTAAACGGGAAACCCCACGGTAACACTAAAGTTCGTATACAAATTTTAACATGCAAATGAAGACTATAATGAGCTCGTGTATGCGCTACGTCACAGTTTTATATATGCTATCCGGAACACAGCAAATGCGATATTTTCTTGTGCAAACACAGTTTTACCGTTTAAGCTTCACGGTGAACTAAACCTGGGGTTCGGTAAAAGTAATGATCTCGTAAAAAGATTAAATTTGTATGAAAAAATCCGTTACAATGCGGAAATATACCGTTAAATTAGGACTGCCACTTATAGTCATGTTTGTTGATTTAATATTGATGTAAGGATGATCCGAAGGCGGAGTTTCCCGTGCAAACAGAAATTATACTTCCCATTTCGCCACAATGAGGTTACCTATTTTCATATAGTAAAACTCATTTTGGTTGTTTGGACACCAAAATAAGACCTGGAGTGGATATAAAACCCAATTTATTAATGAAATGACACTATTTAGTTTTTTATGAAATTTATTTAATGTAACTTTAAATACACATTTATAAATAAAGTGCACATTGAAAGTGTTTCCATACAGAGTCATATTTGACTTAAATTTAAGCTTGTTGGGGAGAAATTTTATTTTTCTTGTTCATAAGACTCATGAACTACATGTATTGAAGGTATTCCCTTGATATTTCACCCAGTCTTCAATCATTGAAACAATTCACTTGTAACTTCACATAGTCTTTGGGGTCATCATTGAAGGACTCTTAACAAGATCCTTATCTGTAAAAGCATGGTTTTTCACCAACACATTTCTCTTGAGGAACATAAAAGTTCCTGCATTATTCAGGCTCTTGTGTTATTAATGGACACTAATTGAGTGCACTGCCCAACTAGCAAATATTAAGAGGATATTTTTTCGTTTGCGTGAAATATGATATATATTTTCACGAAACATGATAAAAAGCCACATATTTTCACGAGCCGGTACGGCGAGTGAAAATATGTGACATTTTATCATGTTGAGTGAAAATATAGACTATATTTCACGAAAAACGAAAAAATAACCTTTTTATTTAATTTCATTATCAAAGAAAATAGTAACGAATCCCCTTGCTTTCTACCATCTGCAACTGTACAGCGCGCAGTAATTTATGCGTAAGCACGCGCTGTTTGGCGCTACATTGTGACGTCATGTAAACAACTCTTTAAACGTCTGTACAGCGTTAATTACTGAATTAAAGATATTGGTGTTCGGATTAATTTTCTTAGTTAGACCATTTTCTATCATGCTAGATAGTTTTCAAAACAAAATTCAAGAAAAAGTTGTTTTGTATTTATCAGATTTTTCAAACAAAACGGCGAAAGAAGTCCCTTAAAATAAATATGAGTTTTGACTCCGCCCACTTTCATATTTATATTTCATATTTATTTTTAAAAAATATGAAATATATTTGACTGATATAGCACCATATTTCATGGGTAAAATTAAATAAAGTCTTGAAATGTCCAGCTTGTTTTAAGTTTACTTTTAACCAGACCAGTCTGAAATACATATTTATTTTATGTTTAACTTAATATGAAAAAGAAAATACAATTCAGAAAGCTTGTAAGATAATTTTTACCCTGTGTGAAGTGCTTAATTGTTATGGATGATTTATTTTTTTAGTAAAAATATCAAACTGACATAACATGATATTTGAGGTTATTAGTGTTATTGCATTGTTCACTGATTCATCTAAAGATTGACATGTTTTATACCAAAAATTTGTTTACATAGAAGGTTAGGAAAATTGATTATTCAGATTATTTATATTTTCTCCTTGTATTATTGAAGTTGCCTTGTCTGTTTCAGGTTTCCCCGCAGTTTAGAAATGTTAGACTCTCTGGTGGACAAGGTAAACGGAAACTTACCAGGCAAAGAAGACACAGTGTTGCTGGTCATAGAAATGTTGCCACATCCTATTCAGACAATAATTCATTGAATAAAGAAAATACAGCACTGGGTTCTCGAAATAAACTGAGAAAATTTAATTCCCTAAGGTTTATAGGCGATAAGTCAAACATTCCAAGTATAATTGAAGATGTTGAAGTGTCTATAGAAGACCAGACAGAATCTGAGGAAACTGAAAGAGAGGATGGTGATCAGAATGAAATTGCTGATAATGACAGTCAGTGTCACAAATGTTTGGAAAATCGTCAATCTAGAAATAAAGGGCACATTCATAAAAGGGACTTGGAAAGGAATAACTATGGTGCTAATATTCAGGAAGAAAGTGAAACAGCTTTAAATATTAATAGAGAGGTTAATGAAGTGTTTGAAAATGATGGTAATAAGTTGGATGAGCATCATGAAAGAAGTAGTAGTGGAGAAATCACTGATCTTAATGTAACGAGAAATAGAAAACATTCAGTTATGGATAAACCACCCATTAAGAGATTGTTTGCAAGTCAGCTTTTAGTCAAAGCTGATTCTGAAGATCAAGAATGTGTTGATGAGATGGTTGATAATGAAAAGATAGTGCAGAACAAGACAAAGTTAAATGATGACTCATTAATTGTACCAGACAGTGAATCAGATTCTGCTAACTCACCTCATATTAGGCGATCAGAGAGAATACGAGAACTTGGTAAAATGCTAGCAAACTGCGAGTCACCGTGTAGTTATAGGAAATTGACTTGTCAGACAGTAGTGCTAGCTCCAAATACTCCAGAAAATGAGTATGGTTGGAGCAAGAGAAAACGACAGTTGATTACGTATCTCAAGAAAAAGTCATGACCGGGTTTTGTTAGAAAAAAACATAATTTATGCACTTCTTTCAATCACATCAAATCATGTTGATAATTTATTTGTAGTCTAAGAATCTAAGATGGTAACCTTTTTGTGTAAAGTCTTTTGTAGAAAAAAAGTTCAAGAGTAAAAGTAAAGTATACAGACTGTATTCAATGTTTTTATTTTATTTCAAGAGCAGATTTGAAAGCTCTACAACATGCCTGTTTTAGCCTATTTTTAGCTCGACTTTTTTGGGAAAAAAAAATAGAGGTATTGTTACATTCATGTCGGCGTTGCAGTCCGCAAACTTAAACCTTAATCATGACTTTAAGTTCTTTGTGTATTGTCTTCATACTTGGCCACAACAACCATTGGGATAATACCTTTAAGTAGATCAGACTAACCTTGACCTTCATTCATATATGACCTTGACCTTCAAGGTTAAATGTCTAAATTTTGCCATAACTTAGTTATTTTTGAATAGATTGTCTTCAAACTTGAACATAATTTTTTAGGATTGACCTTCAAGTGTCTGTTACTGTTGATCTTACAGTTTAAATAAATTCTGTTATACAGTTTTCATTCTGCAGCTTTATCTGCATGTATTTGAACTGTAGCATATTAATATATATTTCATGTCTTTAAAAATAGCTCTTTGTTTTCACTCTAATATATGCTAAAAACTGATAGTGACAATCTGTTTGAATAAAATGATTTTTGAGCTATCAATAAACCAGCCAAACTGGTTTTTCAAAACAAAGATAGGAGAGCATGTGTTCCTTGTTGTGCCAGGAATTTAAAAATTGTTAAATGGTGAATACATGTTCACAATTAAAATTTGACGCAATTTCAAAAGAACTATAATTATAATCATAATGATAAAATTAATTTTTGCAAAGTTCTGCCTCCTTTCCTTCTGCTTAAAGTAAACTATCTAACATATTTTTATGATATACTGTATAAGTGGTTAATTTTGCGACATGGAAATGTTTCAAAATATGACAAAGAAATGTGTGATCAGGAATTTATAAAACAAACAATGTTTATTTCAGACAGTTATATAAATAATAAAAGTATTAAGCAACTTAATACAACTTTTTCAATAACGGCATTTTCCTCACATGTACCTGCATAATTAATGATCACAAAAACAGTATTATATTCAAGAAATCATATCTTTACAAATGTTTCCGCAAGCAAAGAGTCCACTTTTTAGCTCGACTATTCGATAAGAATAAGTAGAGCTATTGCAGTCACCCGAGCGTCGGCGTCGGCGTCGGCGTAACCACTTATGTTAAAGTTTTTGTAATAGTTCAAATATTTTCAAAGTCCATTGACATATGGCTTTGAAACTTTGCACACTTGTTCACCATCATGACCCCAACCTGTAGACAGGAGGAGGTAACTCTATCAAGCATTTTGACAGAATTATGCCCCTTTTTCGACTTAGAATTTACGTTAAAGTTTTTGTAATAGTTCAAATATTTTCAAAGTCAATTGACATATGGCTTTGAAACTTTGCACACTTGTTCACCATCATGACCCCAACCTGTAGACAGGAGGAGGTAACTCTATCAAGTATTTTGACAGAATTATGCCCCTTTTTCGACTTAGAATTTACGTTAAAGTTTTTGTAATAGTTCAAATATTTTCAAAGTCCATTGACATATGGCTTTGAAACTTTGCACACTTGTTCACCATCATGACCCCAACCTGTAGACAGGAGGAGGTAACTCTATCAAGCATTTTGACAGAATTATGCCCCTTTTTCGACTTAGAATTTACGTTAAAGTTTTTGTAACAGTTCAAATATTTTCAAAGTCCATAGACATATGGCTTTGAAACTTTGCACACTTGTTCAACATCATGACCCCAACCTGTAGACAGCAGGAGGTAACTCTATTAAGCATTTTGACAGAATTATGCCCCTTTTTCGACTTAGAATTTACGTTAAAGTTTTTGTAATAGTTCAAATATTTTCTAAGTCCATTGACATATGGCTTTGAAACTTTGCACACTTGTTCAACATCATGACCCCAACCTGTAAACAGGAGGAGGTAACTCTATCAAGCATTTTGACAGATATATGCCCCTTTTTCGACTTAGAATTTACGTTAAAGTTTTTGTAATAGTTCAAATATTTTCAAAGTCCATTGACATATGGCTTTGAAACTTTGCACACTTGTTCACCATCATGACCCCAACCTGTAAACAGGAGGAGGTAACTGTATCAGGCATTTTTTTTACTATCAAGCACTAAGAATAGTCGAGCACGCTGTCCTACCGACAGCTCTTGTTGACATTCCCAAAACGTTTGTGTCACATAAATTATATATATCCACTTATACAATATTATAATTATAATATTCATCTGAATATTGATGAAAGCCGCATTCTTGAACTCTCTGGGGAATGTTAATGCAACATGTGACCTTGAATTCTGGCAGAAGTGGTTCAGTTGTCTCCAGTTATACAAGGTCATCATGGGCTTAGAACCATTCACTGTTAAAACTGTGTTTTAATGTAAGTGGCTTCTGGTCTTCACTTAATTCTGAACCATTCACTGTTAAAACTGTGTTTACATTTAAGTAGTTTATGGACTGACCATTTAAACTATGTTTCCATATAAATGGTTCTTGGTCTTCACTTAAACCGAAGTCATCATGGGTTCAGGACTGTCCATTAATTCATGGTTAAGTTACATCCACATCCATCAGTTTATCAAGAAAATACATAACTACTAGTCAAAGTTTTCCCTCATAAATAATATATAACAAAAACTATTATCAACTGACCATGTAGTTTAAAATAAGTAAATAAGCAAAAGGCAGTTTTATGGGTTTTTTTCCAGTGTTTTATTCAGGTGACTTAGAATTTTACTCTCATTTTAGAAAAAAACAACAACAAATACATGTATTTAATACAAATATACATAAAATATCACTAAAAATTTAACTTAAAGAAAAAACGTACCAATGACACTTATAATAACTCCTACATGAACAAAATTAGATGTAGATAATAACAGCTTTATGTATTAATTTGAGTATTTAAGATAGTTTGTTCTGTTTGCAAGCCATTGTCATATACATGTAATACAATACAACAAAAACCCATTTCTTTCTGACTTCAGATGGACACCTTTATTAATTATTATCTTAAAGGTAAAAAGGTGTAGTTGGGGGAAAAGACCAAGAATGTTTTCATATATAATTTTAAACATTACCGGCAAGAACTGAGGTTTGGTGACGAACCCTCTCTGTAAACTTACTTATTTATAATGATGAAATCCCAGCATTTAAGGCAAGCGATTCTTATTTTCAACAAAACTTTTTTGATTTTCTGGTTTTTAGACTCATTTTAACATTTCTGTCATATCTAGGTGGCCCATCCACTTAATCAGCCTTCCTCGATGACTAACCAGTTATAACCAATTCCTCTGCAAGGTACCAACCACTAATCCTACATGATTTCTGAATCAGTGGTAAGAAACTAAATAACCAGTAGACTCAATGTCTTAAAGTCAATTGTCACATTTCTCAAGGATCAAACCAGTACTGTTCCCTGTATTACTTATATGATGCTCTCCCTATTGAGCTAAGCTAAAGGGGCGTTAAAATTGGGACAAACAATGAACAACAATCTGTTGCACATGTTAACACTGTTGTTGATTTGTTGTTTTTTTCTTGAACTATTTTTTTGTTTTCATTAATCTAAATTAATTTGATTAAGCATAATATATAATTATGTACTTGACAGGACCCAGAATGAAATTTTAGGGACTGTAATAATTATTTTATACTTTTTTATTCTCTGAACTCTTTAACTTTGGGTTTCAGACCCACATACGGTACTCCCTAATATAGATGGATTCTCTACCACTAAGCTGACAGTTGCAATACATTGACAAAAGCAAGATTAAACATAAAATTTCTGGTAATTGCGCGAGGTAGCTTGGGTCAGTATATGCTAATACTATTCATTAACAGCATGGGACTTATTCTATTATATGAATACTGTACAATATATCTAGTGGCAAGCTTATTAAAAAGTAACTACAGATGATAATAGAATTTAAAACTACAGTTTAGTTGTTATAGGCCTTGAAAATATGCCCTAAAAATTTATAGAAGCCCTACTGAGGTCAAATTAAAGCCTTAAAGTATAAAATATTAACTTCTTGCAAAGATCCATTCTGGGCACATGAAACAGAAAATATGAACAAGATAATAAAGAAATATACCCAGAATGAAATTGGACCCCTGTCCCCCAAATAGGCCTTCAAAATACACCCCAACCCCACTCCCCACACCCAAGTTGATGATTTGAATGCCACTACACAGTCTTTTATTTAGGTACCCTATTCAGCCTCTGTATATTAATAGCAGTTTAAATATAGCATCTATTGTCCTCGCATTTTACAAAAGAACATTTGTTTGTTTCATTTTACGCCTTTTCCATACAGTATTTCAGTCATATAGGCAGTACAAAAGAACAAAAAACAAATAGTTCCAAAGTCAAAGCCAATTGTACAAATTAAGCATAATAACACTTCATGATTGTAACCCATGTGAAATGGTCATTTACCAGACACATAACAATTTGATCATTTGGCAAAAATTCTCCCCTCACCCCTTTGTTAACAAAGTTTAATATTAGTTGTTCACAATTATATAACTCTTGCTTTGTTTCATTCACAAAAGTAATGCAGTATAAGTAGTATAAATCACAGAATCACTGATATCCCTAAACTTGGAAATGGACAGTTCCAAAAGAATGAAAGCTGGACAAGTCCATTGTAAAATTTCAGCAGAATAAGGGTTAAAAATACTGCTGATTCAAAATTTTCAGTTCCTAGACACGCCTCTCTTGCTTTCTTGGTTAGATTAATTTATCACTATTCATATATAATCATCACCATCCATATACATGTATAATTATCACCAACATTTGTCTACAAAAATGTCATGTGGTGACATAAATCGGAGAATCGCTGTGTTTACGAACATGTTCGGGTATTACAGCAGTGATCTCCCCTTCTTTCACAGCATGAACAGCGTCACCGCACACGTTTATCAGACACTGACTCTGAAATGTAAATGACAATAAATAAAATCAATCGTAATTTATCATAATGGTATTCAGCTGTAGTCTTAAAAATAATACATGTATTTTGTTATTTCGGTTTAAAGGGTGTAAAACTACAACTTTTAAAATATGCTACGCTCACTTCCATGCAAATTCTTATAAAAGAATAAAAGATCATCTTTCAATTTTGTTAGTTTGGTACAATGCATATAATGGTCTTAAGTCTCACACCACAAATATCTGTTTCATTATAAAATCTATAAAATGATTATATCTGCATATATTTAAAGCTACATAATCATAATGTCAAACTTTTCTTAAAGAGAAGTTTTACTTTCTATGCATTTAATCATAGGATTGTGAGGTCATTCCAGATCACAAATTTAAATAATACAGATATTGTTTATTTTCATTCCAATTGGTCCAAGTTTGTTCCAAAGATTTAAGCAGTCAAAATATACTCATAAATATGGAATATTTTATTGTAGTCGCTTTCTGAGGCTTTGTATTTTGCTAGAAGCAGTGTTGGAAAATTGATATCTCGCAAGACCTAAGGTCGAGCAAGATATTAATTTCTCAAGGCTGCAATTAGCAAAATGCATGGCCTCACAAAGCCCTTACAACACGATTTTCCTTTTTATTATATACCTATGTGTTTTACGTTTTCAATTTACTTCACTTCTATTTGTAAATTCAGAAAATGAAATGTAGCTGTCAAGAAATAAATTAATGAATGATGGATGAATATGTAATTTTTGCAAAAACGGCCATGCCTTTAATAATTTTGGTTCCCTTTTCCAAATTCTATGTTATACACAGCTAAGATCGGAACCAACGTCAAAAAAAGTCCGGCACTTCAATATATGGTACCATATTTTGTCACTTACATAATACGGAATTGTTTGTCCGTTAAAATGTACTTGTGTTTCAAAATGTGCGCATAGTTTAGGGAGAAAATTCATAGGTATATAATAAAGCATAATATTTAGAGTTACAAAACAAATAACAAGACTAACCTGGTTTTTATGTTCATTGGTCAGCAGAACACATTGTGTTAAATTATACGCCACCAGGGCGTTACCTCCCAGCGAGGACACATGAGCTCGTACAATCGCCAGAACTTCCATGATAAACTTCTGCATAAAACCACATACACCCCCAACCTGGGAATTAAACAGTAAATCTCAGATATGTCTGTAATAAATCAACAATACTATAAAGTTAATATAGATAGCTGCTAAAATATTCAGGAGTCATTCCTTATGATAGTCTTATTGCAATGCTTTCCTGCCAAAAAATTTCTAACACTGCCTAAAATTGTAATAAATTGGTTATTTCCCAAACGTTATTTGTCACAATTTTTGGTATTCAATAAATTTTAACCGTTTATAACCGGTATTTAGTACATAGCGATAAAGGATGAGTGATTGTAAATAATTGAATGCCCATAATTTTGAAAAAATTACATTTCGGAAATGCCGATTTGCAATATTTGCCACTGTTAATTTTTTTGGCAGGAAAGCATTACAGTGAGACTATCTTAATATTGAAAATATTTACTGCTTATACTTTTGAATTCAAGTACATCATGAACTTGCCCCTCACTGCATTAAGAACTGTCCAGTTCAGATTAAAGAAAACTTTGTCAAACTACTTGAATAACAAGCATATAGCAAGGACATAAAGGCTCCATGCCTTAAACTTTTACCACAAAAACTCAAACTGCTTCAAAGGTAATTTTTCTGGAAGTTAAATTCCACAGAACTCCTTTATATTGATGAAATCCTAATTAAAGAGGTGAAAATTTCTATACATGTATGTTGACGCCACATTTTTCAGTGATATTGCAGCATTCTAGTTTTGCGAATTGCAGGAAAAAAACAACAAATTGATGCTTCATGCAGGGACATGATTGCATCTTCCAGTGTAGAAACACTGACTTTCCATGAATTAGCTTTACAGATTCACAAAATGAATTTTTATTTACTTAGACAAGTTGTTTTAAATAATAACATTTAATCTAAAATATTTCAAAGAATTAATATAAGAAATACATACAATAATCGAGAGGAAGAGAGTTCATTGACTATAGTTTAATATTCCACATCTACTGTGGCGGCGTGGACGAGTGGTTAACTTTTCGGACTAGTGCTGACAGTGTGGGTTCAAACTCTGTCAGGGGAAGGCCGTTGTTTCCTTGAGCAAGAACATTTAAATTAATTGCATAGTACTGGTTGGTTCCAGGAACAGATTAGAGACTGTTTCAATAAGCTTACAGCTTCCAACACAATCAAACTAAAATGAATTTGTATGAACTAAACTACTGTTGACACTTCTTTAATTTGCCATGTTTTAACCCACCTCTCTAACAGACGTAGTTTCCCGTATGAAGAAGAAATTATAACTGCCGATATATTTTTCTATCTTAGCTCCGGGAACATACGCTAAAGGTGTAATCTGTATGCCCTGCAATGTTCTACCAAAAACCTGAAAGAAATTAAACCATAAGTTTATGTGTATCTTTTTAATCTATGCGTATCTATAAAATCTTATTTGTGTAGCAAGTTCTTTCAACATATATACTAGGACGAAAAAAAAAACGCCGGGTAACCTATAATATGCAACACATATTTTATTGCTTGGCCTAAAATAATGAAAATCGGCCAGATTTATGTGTTGTTCGCTGTCGAACGGTACACACGTTTAAAACTACACAATACCATACCTCTTCGCACTCGATTGGCCAGCATTCAGTCCAGATTTGTCCCCAATTGAACATTTGTGGGACGAACTGGAAAGGAGGGTAAGGAGACGTCCAAATGCCCCCACTAATCATGTCCAGCTCACACATGCCTTGCATGAAGAATGGAATAACATCCCCATGGCCATGATTAAGACCCTGGTGAATTCCATGCATAGACGGATCAGGGCTGCCACAGCTGCGCATGGAGGACACACAAGATACTGATATGTCCGGCCGTGTTTCGCAAAACAAGAAGGATCATCGTTAAAAGGGAGTATTTTTTCACATAATCAGCATCGGAAATCGATTGAAATTTCAACAGCTGGTTCCATACAGATGACATTTCATACAAAAATGAATATAATAATCCAATAATACAATTTATCCCTTAAAACAATCATTATAGGTTACCCGGCGTTTCTTTTTCGTCCTAGTATATTAATCACAATTAAATCCACTTCTTGGACTAGACAGTAATTGATTAATGCAATATCTTATAACACCATGCTAACACATTTATAACAAATATTTCAATGATGAATGATGTTCACTGTACTAGCTATTTAATTCAATATACATTGTATTTGTTGATATTCTGAGCTTTCAATAGTTTGATACATTATTTTTCCACCAATGACTGCCTTAGTATGTGTGTTTTTATATTATGGAGAAGTGAACTACAATGCACCTGTACCAGTGCATCTTTAAGGTTTAGAGACACAACATATCAACTATTTGGTCATGTGTTCCTTTTGGTCATATAATTTGTCACCTTAGCGCAGTAAAGAGTTAACTTCTTTTAAATTACAATGGAAGTTACCCTGTTACTGCACTAACCCATTAGCAGAGTCTTCATTGAATACAAATCTCTCCTGCCTCCAATCTATTTAATTTTTTGTTGTTTTTTTTGTTGAGTTTTACATCGCACCAACACAGTATAGGTCTTATGTCGACTTTCTAGCTTTAATCATGGAGGAAGACCTCAGGCACCTGAGTAGAACCACCTACGTTCATTTAGCTAGCTACAAAGCTTCCTCACATGCAAGAATCCAAAGTCCCTGCCAGGATTCAAGCCCACAGCAGCTTCGAAACTGTAAGGAAGGTGCAATTATTTCAAAGCATGACAACTTGATTTTTGTAGAATCATCCACTGCCTCCCAACACATACACACATCAATTTTATGACTCAACCTTAAAAGATGTTTTATGCTACTGGAACAGATGTATGTTTAATGTTAAAGATATTAAAGTATATCAAACAAACTTACTTGAGATTGTTTCTTCTTTAATACTTCTGCTTTAATCTTTGGAACTGTAATTTTAATGTGAAAAGAAATAGAGAAATAGGATTCTTAATTAAATAATATCAAAATGAATGTCCTTAATGTACTTGTTCAGCTTTCATTTCAGGAATTGTTCATTACCAATTTTGAAGAAATTAGAATGATAATTTGTAGCTGACCAGCCAACAGTATTGAGCCTGGTCAGACAGGACAAGTGCAAGCCCTGCAAAGACTGTTCACATTTGGTTTTAAAAGGTTCAGAGTTCAAATTTTCTGTTTTGTGGATAGTTTCTTTTACATTTCTAAAGAGAGCTTTCAATAAAAAGTTTAAAGAAAAGGATCATAGTACATGATTTTTTCAATCTTTAAAACCACAGTATAAAACAAGATTCTACATTTTCCCATGTCATTTTTAAGTTCCATGCAGTGGCATTGTTTAATTAATCAATTATTTAGTCATTTAAAATGATGCAGTTTGAGATTGGACCTGCAACCTACAGCATCCAAATTGTCAACTCTAAAACAAGGTCATCATAGAATTTAAAATTCACACTTTTTAAGTTCACACTATTTAAGTTCACACTATTTAGTTCAGAATATTTTCGTTGACAGTAAAAGTTCACATTATCTAAGTTCACAATAATTAAGTGCACAATATTTAAATTCACAATATTTGAATTCACAAAATCTAAATTCACAATACATGTATTTAGAGTAAAGCTTTTATTTTATTTCTTTTCTCTGGTAGTAATTAAGACATAAACCTTGTACAATATAGAAATCTATAAATAGAATGAATCAAACCTTTATGTAATGCAGATGAGGCTGATCCCTCCGTGACCTCTTCCATTTGGAACATCATATCATCAACATTCTCCCCACTGGCACCAACAACCGACACATTTGCTGGAAGATTGATTAAACTGTTGACCTTTCAATACAACTGATTAACCTATACCATGTAAATGAAATGGTACTGTTTAATATACTTTGTTCCACACTGCTGTAGGTATATATTCTGTCAGAGACTTGAGATTCTGTCATGTGAGGAAGCTATCCAGTTAGCACAAGGAATGCGAGTGGTTCTGCCAGGTGACCGCTTGTGTCTTTCTACTCCCATGACCGCTTGTTTTTGAATTTATGCATGGAAGAGGCACCTGAGTTTTTTCTCCACCACTGACCAATAAAAACTTGGAAAGTCTCCTTAAGACCAATATAGTGTCAGTGTGATTTAAAGCACAGCCAACCACTTAATATGTACGAGTATTTTGCTTACCTTGTAAAAGTTCGATTGCAAACTTTTGAAAACTGCACAAATACTTTTAATACAAATGTAAAACAGACTGTGTAAGAATGTAAATGTTGCAAGAATGAACTCTGGGTATTTGACTTGTGTGCATATTTGTACAATTGTAAGCATCGCACTGACCAAAAGTAAATATTTAGCTTTAAAAATCTTTAATCAGCCTATCAGAACTCAAGGAAAATAAATTAATGCCTCAAAATATTACCCCTTTGTGCAGTACATGAAAGTGTTACCAAATTATTACCATGGCAACTATGTCAAGGTCACACCAAGTGAAGGGTTGACATAATAAATGGCCGTTTGTATCATACAAAACCATTCAAAATGAAAAACCAAATTTTAACATGACTTATGTATGTAACAAAATAAGAATCAAATGCCTTACCAGATTTTAACAGTTGTTTATTTGAAGCAGAAGAACTAACAGGAGTATCAGTGACAGCTTTGCTCTGTGGTTGGCTGTCGTCAATGGCAACACATGTTCCCGTGACAACGACCTCAATCTCATCTTCTTCAGGAGCGTCAACGCTGAATACCAGATTACACAGACAACATGGTATCATTCTCCGTAATTTGAAGAATAATCTCTGTAAAAACATAAAAGGAACATACAGTCAAGACTGCCTGAGTGACCCCCAAAATTTCAACAACTCCCTGTCTTAACCGACCTTGTTTCAGTCCTCCCAACGTACATGTATTTCCCTATATAAATAGTCTGATATATATAGAAATAAAATATGAACTAGAAATGTGTCTATGAGACAAGGATGCTCTACAACACCACTGTTTTCTTTCTGACGGACAGTTCAACAGTGGGACCGATACACATTAGCAAGTATATAAACCTCAACCCTTAACGGCACGTTATGTCTCGGAAATAAATAAATTTCTACTTAAATTTCTACTTCTTAAAAAAGGGCAAACATGAGTGTTATATTGCTTAGATAATGGTTTAAAAGAATTTAAGATGCTTGTTACTTGTACCTTAAGGATGCAGCCATAGGTGTGAAATAATTTGTCAGAAAAGTAGCAAAATGTAAGAAATGGGTCAAAGACAGAAAAGGCCAGGTTGCATTTGTATACCAAATATCATAATGCTGTGATGTTAAGAAAAAAATTTACCACTGACCATCAATGTTGAAAATTTAACTAAGTCATTAAACAAAAAGTGGATGAGCAACAGACCTGAAATCGAATCCCATGGTATGGGACCACAGGTCAATAATGTATGCCAATTATCAAGAGGCTGCTAAAGTAGTTGCTGAGAAACTGTTATGAAAATTTCCTACCATTTACCATTAATGTCAAAAATTTAGCTAAGTCGATAAAAATAAAGTGGATGAGCGACAGAACTGAAATCGAATCCCACAGTATGGGACCACATGTCAATGCTAAATGCCATACATCAAGAGGCTGTGATAAGTACTTGCTGAGAAAACTGTTATGAAAGTTTCCTACCATTGACCATTAATGTCGAAAATTTAACTAAGAAGACTAACAGGAAGTGGATGAGCGACAGACTTGAAATCAAATCCCACAGTATGGGACCACGTGTCAATGCTGTATGCCAAATATCAAGAGGCTGTGATAAGTAGTTGCTGAGAAAACTGTTACGAAAAGTTTTTCTTCATCTGCCAGCCAGCCGCCCCCCAACATTCACCATACTATAACCCGGGTTTGCACCTGTGCAACACGGCCAACAAAGTAATATTTTGACCTTCATAAAAAATACTTATTCATGTTAAGTTTCCTTAAAGGCTGGTCTGCCTCTATAATTGTGACATTAACAAGTTTATTTTTTCATTGAAATTAAAAACCATCTTACCCTATACACCCCATCAAAGAATTCTTTAAAATCTGTTTTCATATGCTGCTCTAGATCAATCTTTCTTCTATACACTTGTGTGAACATCTGAAAAATATACACACCATAGTTGATTATATAAATATATTTGTCTGGTATCAGACCACAAAATATTTGGTTATAACTTCAATATATATTAAGGATTTAATAAAATTATGTTGCAACAAAATGAACTTACGGAATGAACACTTTATCATAATTTTGAGGACAAGGTTGTTGCCTCACTCTCTTAGTCTGCTTGTGTAAATTATGCGCTAGCATCAAGCAAAGCATTATCATGAACATAATTTTAGTGCCTTAGGCATGAAAGGAGCAAATGTTTATATTTACTCAACTATTGGACAGACTGCTCATAAGTCGCGGGTCTGTTATTTACATTGGCAGTATACTTCTCTTGATTCTCATATACATGTATAAGTCTTCTATTTCAAGTATTTGATTATATATTGATGTATGACTAACCAGTGAGTAGTTTATTTACATCTTTATGATAACATTATTTATTTCAGGTAGAATACCTATTATTTTAATATATCACAACAAAAGCTATATAAACCTGGAGATTATGACTGAACAGTCGAGACTGTATGCCCGGACACGTCTCCGTATTGCACAAATCCATACCAGCAGGGTGAGGGGTGTCATGTAACATGGCCTGTATATTATCATCCTTCGTATCATCTACCTATTCAATAATGAAACATATTTTTTTTTAAAAAAAACAACAATAAATACAATATCAATGGATGCTCCCCATGCTATTTTAACTCTAAAATATTGCATATAAGAGTATCAAGAAAATTGTTAAAGAACTAGAAATGTATCCAAAGAATACAGATACCCCCATTTCTACTGTTTTGTCAGAATACAGAACAACAGCAGGAGGGGCGAACAAGGGCAATTCTATATCCCCTCCCTCTAAGAAGTGAGGGTATAAAAATAGTAGTGAAGGTATAGAAATATGTTCTTAGTCTAAGTGATATTGACCCAAGGTAATGAGTTGGGTGGGACGTCACTCATGATGAGCAGACTGACCAAGGTCTAAGGCCATAAAGAAATTGTTTAAGTTCAAACTCTTATCTCAGGTATTTGATTGGTTAGAAACCAACTCAGAATGTTCACTGACCAATGAAAATACTGAGATTCGAAATGGATTTAAAAAAAAAAGTTTTATAACCTTGACGCCTGAATGGTTATATGGACAGAAAATGCAAGATAATATCGCTGCAAGCATTCAAACGGTTAGTTTAAAAATATTTATTTCATTCATTTTATATGTATATAATTATTGTCACATAAAATTGAAAGGGATTAGAATGAAAGAAAATTTATATAGTTCCTCTCCCTAAAGGGTTACGACTGTAAAAAAATCACTGTTTTTTTCTGGTATTTCTGTTACATATGGCAGTATAAATGAATGAATATGTTACCTCTAAAACAAAGGTATCCTTGTTACCAGCAGATAACTCTAAATCCGACCCTTCATCATCACTATCATCTGTATATACACTGTGAGGACTAGGCTGACCTGAAAAATCCTGAAAATAAACAACAAGATTGATATAATAAGTACTTTATTGTACCTGTTATCATGTCATTTTCTCAACAGTGAACACTATTTGATCACAAGTAAGTACACCTTTATCTACATGATTGATCCACTGATTGATATTCTTATTGAATGATTGTTCAAATGAATGACAATAAATGAATGAATGAATGAATGAATGAATGAATGAATAAATGAATGAATGAATGAAACATACATACAAACAAGTAAAGTAACAAATGTACGAAAATAAGTGAGTGATTGAATGAGTAAGAATAAATGAAAGAATGAATTAATAAACAAAGGAATGAATGAATGAAAAAATGCACGAATAAATAAACAAATGAATGAATGAATGAATGTATGAATGAATGAATGAATGAATGAATGAGTATACTGCAATTACTCAAGAAAAGTCTGTATCTTGAAAACACAAAAGCAAATTGGATATATTTACTGTCAATTTGTATAACCCTTTTCCCCCACTAAATTTACAAAATAGACTTGTCCAGGAACATCAACATTGCTTTCATTTTGGATCAGTTCATTCTTACTTTAATGGATTTCAATATCAAAATACTAAAATGAAACTGCCAACATTTAAAAGGGGATAATTTTGAGCCCTATCAGACTGTACAAAAATAAATGTATAAGCTCAGGTAGGCCTACCTTTTTATACTTTATACTCTGATGGTATACATTGGTCATTAATTCAGCTAGCTATGTATAAGATAATTCAATTTTCATGAATGTATTTATTATTACCAAGTATTAATGATGCAATTATGGACATGAGGTTACAAACTTTGGTTGCCCTGTAGAAAAGAATGTTGATCTCAAATGAGAAGATTCCGTTAGTGAGGTAAGATTACCTTGTTCATTCTCTTATCATTCTGTTCAGAATTCTTTCATCATTTTGATGCATAGCTAAATTTATGCTTCAATCTGATTTATTTTTTGTTTTAATTCCATTAAGGGTTGTTTTTTATGGTTTAATGCATTTTTATAGAAATATTTGTTTAGTTAGTTATTAATTAGTTTTACTTTTTACCTCATCTTTCATTGTCTTAAACAATTTAATATTTGCCGTTACAAAATCAACAACTTTGTTTTCTTTACTTTTTATATTATTATTTTCCAATAAAAGTAATTTTTGCCCTTATTGATGCTTCCATACATAAGTATATTTAAATTTAAAGCCAAAAAAAGTTTTAAATTGAATTGAATTAATTCTGTTATTATTTGAATTTCACTTTGCTACCTTTCTTATAACATGACTGTATCTAATACATGTATATACTGAAAAATTGACAACACCATTTCTATACATTCTTTATAACTGCTTTCTGTGTTTTACCGTTAAAAGATGTAGCAATTTCCTATATTTGAAAATGTTTGACTTTTTTTTTGAAAAATTAATTTTATCTATACATTGTCATGTAGTTGCTACCAGAAAAACAAAAAAAAATTGTATTCAGCTGCATCCAAGTAAGTTGTAAGTCATTTTATTTATTTGGACAAATATTAATATAAATCTACAGTTCTTAAATAACACTCATCAATATAAACCACCAGGTCACCTTAGTTTTAAAATCTCATCTCAAACTATCAATATAAAGTCTCACCTGAAACTACCAGTTATTTCAGGGGGCTTAGGAGGGGTGCTAGCAGGAGGGGGTGGTGGCAAGCTTACCACCACTGGACTATTGCAAGCCACATGGCCGGTTCAAACCCTGTCAGGGGAGAGCCTTTATTTTCTTGAGCAAAAAATCTTCACATTCAGTGCTCAGTACTGGTTGGTTCTAGGAACGGATTCAAGAGTGTCTAGAAGCTTATAAATTCATATGCAAACTAAAATAAAACCTATTCTAAATTTTAAAATAAACTAACTTCTTGGGTTTGTACAAAGAATTTATCTTGGGACTTTATTTTTGTATTAATTTATGTTGTTTTTTTTTGTAAATTCAAAATGTTATTATATTATCTGTAACAGGTTGACAGAAGATGTCCTATGCCCTGATAGATGATGATATTCTACAGCTATGTTGTGCTGTCAGGATGGGAGATATTTCAGATGTAAAGATGCTACTGGAGTTTGTACCAGACATAGACTGTCCAGATACAGTAATATTTCTAATTTTTCCATTTTTCATATGCATGTTAAAAGTTACTTTTTTCCAAGTAACTCTGAACAAAAAACTGATAAAAGTTTTACCACTGGTTTTTCAAATTTGTCAAAGAAATTTGGACAGGATACTATGACTGTGACTGTAAAAATAGGAAAAACATTAAATTTTGTTTATATTATATAATAATTGTAAGTAAAGTTTTTTTTTTTAAGTTGAAGATTTAATTACAAATTTCAAGAAGCAGTGTCTTTAGTATAATCTCAAAAACCAATCATAACCTAGCTAAACATGCTTTGATTTTTTTATTTCCTGTTCTTGAAGTTTTGGTGTCCTGTCATAGTTTTCAGTAAGGTGCTTATTGGCCATATTATGGAACCATCTTTTGCTTCTGTTGCTTTTTGGCATTTGGTACAGTAATAGTGATCTATACTATTTTGTATGGAATCAAAATACTACTTTGTTTACATTTTGCTACTATATGACAAATTATTTCACATCCAGGAGATAAGCATCTAATAGGCTCTTAAACCATTCTTTAAATGTAATAATAAAACTCATGATCTAAACCCTTCCTAGAGAAAGAAAATTTTATTTGCTTCTGAGCCATAATGTGCCTTTAAGCACAGGAACCTTATATTAAATAAATTAATAAATAAATTAAAATCACCCCTTCTACATTTTTCTCTTTTTTTTGGGGGGGGGGGGGGGAATATATTTTTGGTCAAAATAGTTTCTTTTTTTCGTTTAAAATTTCAGACTCCTTTGCTTTGAGCTATGCTGCTTTTTTTTATTTCGTGAATGAAATTTCGTTAATTACAAGAATTAAGTTTTATTTTTTTCATTATTTAAGAATGGTGAGACAGTTCTGCACACAGCGGTACTGTATGATTGTAAAGACATTGTTGAAGAGCTGACAGACATGGGGGCTGATGTCAGCATATCTAACAAGGTAACAAGTAGCTTTAATAATACTTATATATTCTAATATCATCAAGGTATTGTAATATAGCCTGCATTTATTATTTATTTGCCTGAATTTAATGTGCCTAGATCGAGCTCTTTTTCTGACTCTGAATTGATGAATCAAATAATTTTTGTCCCTTCTAAATAAGATCATTTTTTGTCCCTTCTAACTGTTTGTTTGTTTGATTGGGTTTTAGGTCACACTGACACAGTATAGGTCATATTATATTGGCCATGTTCCAGCTTTACTGGTGGAGGAAGATCTCAGGTGCTCTTCCGTGCATTATTTCAGGCACAAATGGGCACCTGAGTAGAACCACCTACATCCCATCCCTTCTGACTGTTTGTTTGAACAATTAACATACTATCTAAAATGGACTTGTCCATCTTTCAATCTGGACGGAACCACTTATCATTTTTTGGGGGAATATTTCAATATATGTAATGACTGATCTGAATATGGGACAGTGCAGACCATGATTAGACAGCTAGGATAACTGCAATGGTCACATGAGTATATTCAGTTGCCAAGGTTACAATAAGTTGTCATATTCCTAAAATTCAATAAGGTTGAGGGCACACTGTAATGAAACATAAACTACCTTTTGCCTCCCTAATCAGAATGCACTGTTATGAAATATTAACTATGTTTATGTTTCTTCTATTCATCAGAACGGCCAGACACCTCTTCATATAGCAGTAAACAATGGACATTTTGATATGACAAAACTTCTTATAGATGCTCATGCTGAAATAGACACTACAACAAAGGTATCTTTCTTCCTTTTTGGTAAGATCTTGTAAAGACACCAAAGAATTCTTATTAGAATGTTCAAGATTTACTCAGGTGAGATTAAAGGTCTCTGGTTATTCTTGGATATTTGCTTGTGTCTGATATAAAGCACTGCATGATTTATGCCTGAAATAATGCACAAAGTGGAAAATTCCTGAAACAGTGCACAACGTGGAATATTCCTGAAACAGTGCACTAAGTGGAATATTCCTGAAACAGTTGTTAAAACGAAATATACTATGACTGTTCTAATTGCTAAATTGCTTAAGAAGCAAATGATAAATGGCCAGTTGAAGTAACTTATTGTATCCATACCAAAAACAAGACAGTTTTTTAGAGTTCATGGGCCTTTAAGAGTCTGTGTAAACCAACCCCCCTGTTATAATTCCTACCTCTCAATAATGTATACCTTTAATACGCTTAAAGATTTGTGTGAGTACTTTGTGGTTGTTGGTTTTTGTTTTTCTTGTTTGTCTGTTTTTTTTAATTCTTGTGACAGATTCCCCTTACTTAGAATTCCATTTACATTACCGTACACCACCATATGATTCCTCTTTATTATAACTATCTTATATTATACTTAAAACACTAACTTGTGCCTAAAGGCCACTCATGCCCCAGATATGCTTTCATTTTTATTTCTCAAAAGCTTTATATTTTGGGTGCCGTGTTACAGTTGTTTTTTTTTAAAAAAGAAATACTCATTGTCCATTAGTTTCTGAGCAATTGTTTGCTTCTGTTCTATTTTGACAAAAAAATACTGTTACACTGGTTTTGTATTTTGTATGGAAGTCAAAATACTACTTTGTTTACATTTTGCTACTTTTATGACAAATAATTTTGCATTCAACGCAATTTTTTCCAGGTAATAAGCTTCAAACAGATCTAAAACAATTACTTAAATTTTAAAAAAAATCATGTTTGCAATTTCAAAAGAAGAAAAACTTTAACCGTTCATGAGGCATAATGTGCCTTTAAACATGCAGTATGTTTTACAGTACTCTGAGATGACACCATTACACCTTGCTGCCATGAACGGTCACACAGAAATTGTTAAACTTCTTCTAGAACATGGAGCCGACTGTAATTCTCTTGACCAAGTTAGTATCTAATTCTTTAATATGCAAATTCCAATGAAAGCAGGAAGTCGTTTTGGAAAATGAAAGTTTTTTTCTGATTATACTTAGAATTATCTACTAAGGACAATTATCATAGAATATCATGTTAAAAATTGACCTCTTAAAGGGCAGATAATGTGTAAGTCATTATAGGAAGCTCAATGAAAGGACCTGCAATTAAGTAAAAGCAGTATTTTTGACTGTAACGGGTTCATTCATTTCAATATAAAAGCACAACTGAAGATTTGTAAAGATTTGTTCCCTAAAGAAACTATGCATAGACAAACACAAACACAGCTGGCAGACCACATGGATCCCTTTGATCAGTCTCTGACTAAATGAGCTAATATTTGTATTTCACAGACTCAATACAAAGAACTGCAACAAATTAAAAATTTGTAAACTTTTAACCTGCTGAAAGGCAAAAGTGATTATTTTTTGCCACCAGGATAGAGCCAGGCCAGCCTGCATATCTGTGCAGTCTGACCAGGCTCTATATTGTTGGCTGGCAAACTTCAAATTCTTGCCTTGATATACCTAAAATTGATAATAGACTGTTCCAAAATTGAAATTGGAAAAGTTCATTTAAGAAATTCAGCAGGTTAAGGGTTAAAAACTATTTTGCAGATAAAGAAGACTCCAGAATTCTATGCAGCTAATGGAGAAATCACCAGTATCTTAAGAGATCGAAAGATGAAACAGAAAACAGTAATTGAAACACAGCAAAATCTAGATGAAGATATTGATATAATGCAAAAATACTTAAAACCATCACTTGAAAAGGCTAAATATACATTCAACAAAGAGCTCACAAACATATCCCCTCATAAAATACCAGAAAATTCCATGACAGAAGATTTAGAAACAGCAGACGAACCCAAAGCAAAGGCAAAGGAAATGGCAATAGTTAAAGAAAAGATAAATGAACCCAAAGTGACAGAAAAATCAACAGTAATGCCTGACTTATCAGAGCAAAAAGCTAAACATCATCTGTCAAAGCAAACCAACAAGGAAAATACTCCTAGATCAAATGCAAGTCAAAGAAACCAAACTACTGTCTTAAAACCTACAGTTACTGTTCAGAAAAGTACACAAAGGTTTGGAAAGACGGAAGTTCAACAGAAATTGACACAGAAAAATGCTGCTGTTAAAAAAGCTGTCTTTCAACAAAACCCTGTTAAAGTAAAGTTTAGTGCCAGTCACGAGAAAATGATGCAGAAGAATGTTTTTGACAGACTGACAAGGAAGAAAAATCAACTGAACAAATAAACAGTATGTGTTTATGAAGTTGTGTTTGAATTTTGTATAGCTGTATTAACTAAAAACACTTGTGCTTTAAAATAAGGTACATTTACAGTACTCGGAGATGACACCTTTACACCTTGCCACCATGAATGGTCACATGCATACTGTGGATCTTCTTCAATCAGAGGAGACTGACAAAATTGATATTTCTTTCTTTATCAATAAGTTGTACATGTATATTAAACTAATGTCACATGTGGTGCATGAGGACCTGAGAAACTGTTTTCTACATTGAAAGCTTTTTGAACAATACTTAGAAAATAATCACACAAATTCCAGGTTATTTTCTTCCATAGTAGTTCCTCCCCTTTACTAGTGTCTCCCCTTTACTAGACCCTCCCCAGACTAGTTCTGTCCCCTGACTAGTTCCTTCCCCTTACTAGACCCCCCCCCCCCCTGACTTATTCCACCCTCTGACTTAGTTCTTCTCCTCTGACTAGTTCCTCTTCTCTGACAAGTTCCTCCCCCCTGACTTGTTCCTCCCCTCTGATTAGTTCCTCCCACACACTAGTCCCTCCCCTCTGACTTGTTCCTCCCCTCTGACTAGTTTCTCCCATACACTAGTACCTCCCCCTGACAAGATCTTCCCCTGGACTAGTTCCTCCCCTCTGACTAGTTCTTCCCTCCGACTAGTTCCTCCTCTAAGACAAACTGTTTTACTCCCCTGACAGTTCTCCAAATTTGAAATATGTAGACAGTTCTCCACCTATTTCTTTAAAATTTATTCATCTTTTTATATTTTACATTATGAGAATCTATCAGGAGTGAATTAACATTATTTTCTTACATTATGAGAATGACTGAAGATGGTGTTACAGTAGGTAATATTTTTTCTACTTAATACAACTACTAAGGAAATAATTATCAAAATTTTTAAGATACACAATCACACTTGTCAAAAACCTATACAAATGTATATTTCATCACTTATTAATTAACAAGGATTTGTTTTCTTCTTCTTTTTTTTTGATTTCACATCACACAAAACACTGCTAATAAGCTATAAGGTCATATGGCAACTTTCCAGCTTTACTGAAGAAGGAAAACCTTAGGTACCCCTCCATGCTATATTCAGGCACAAACTGGCACCTGAATTAAACCACCGTAGTTTCTTAAGCTAGCTGGATAGCTTCCTCACAAATCTATGGCAGGATCATGTAACCCAAATTGGTCAGGGGCAAGTGGTTTGTTGTCAACAACTTTAAGCAATCGGCCAAGGATGCCCAACCCATATACCCCCCAAACTTATTTTGATGAATCTAATCGATATAAAGTAGAACAAGAAAATACCTAAAAACCCTGCTTTAAATGTTTAAAACTCATGTTTATCTGTCATACACTGACTTTTACATATTTTTTCTCAGGTATTTCAATCCAATCAACACTTGACTGAGGGGTGATTTATTGTTAAACACCTTTAATTAAATCATAACCCTTAAGTTCAGTGATAATCTAACCAACTCAATTCATTCATTTAAATAAAACAAACATTTTGTTATATTTCGAAACATATTGATTTATAACACAAATAAATATATAAGCAAAGCACTATGTCACAGGTTAGTGCAATAACTGATTAAATGCTATAAAATTTAGAAGGTCTCATTCCGTTTCTGCACAAAGGTGATGATTTGTTATATAGTCACATTTTTTCATTTTCAAATTCAAAATGATTAAATTGATTATATTTGTATAGCCGTTTATGTAAATGTTTAATCATGTTCAACTTGGGTATTCATAAGCAGAAATGTAAATAGTCAAGGGTACTACAGAAACTTATTGACATGCTAACCTTCCTATAAAACAAGTACACTTTACACTTATTGTTATGCAAGTTTCAATCAGTAAAAATTACTTAATTATTTATTATGTACAAGAGCAATCAGAGATCACATTTTAAGTATATGTTTAAGTTTATTTTTTATGTATTTACAAAAATAAATTGGTCATTTAATTTTGTAAATACTTACTTATAAATTTCAAACAGCTTTAATTAAAGTCTTTTGAATTATTTTTATAAATAGAAGATTTTTTTACTACAGCTTGTGATTTACCAAAGTAAATGTCTGTTACGATTCATTTGAAATACTGAAATCTTATTGGACAAAAAATAATTTCAAACACTAAAGTATGTGAATATACATGTATTATCATTTCCATAATCTTTCAGTATCAAGTTTAAATAACTGTGATCGAATTACCATGTAATTGTTTAAATTCAAAGGGAGTATCACCATAATCTTTTCATTTTTTGCATAAAACTATCGGTTTCAAGTAGACGCGCAACTCTCTACAACTTGTTTATTCTTGTTACCATTGGTAAAAGACAATTAAACCATTCAAGACTGAAGGAAGACATATTTGATTTTTATTTTTCTTTTATTTTTTGAAGAAACCTTTGCAAATTAACTTCGGATATCATTTAAGGTATGTTATTTGAAATTGTTAAAAAATTGTTAGGTAAATTTTTGTGGTAATAGAGATTTGTTGGTTGAATTAACTTATTATCTTTTTCTACTAATTGATTTATTCAAAGGTCAAAATTAAGAACACTTTAATAAAGCTAACAATTCACAGCCTTATATGATA